TGAAACACAGGCTAACTGTACTTATGATGGACCAAGTGCAGTGCTTTGCTGGGGGCCTTGGACCAAGGACAAACAGGACTCTGTTCCTGCTCACTGGGCTCTCAGACTTTTCGAGTAATGGACAGAAATACACAAAACCAACTGTGTTCACATGAGGGTTTTTAACAGTGGTTGAGAATTTTTTGTCACTCTTTCCAGCGAGGGGTGGGCTCTACGTTCCCACCCCTTGAATCTAGGTGCTTGGTGACTGTTGTGACCAGTAGAGTATAGTGGAAGTGACAGTAAGTGACTTCTGAGCCTAGGTCTCCGAGCCAGGCAGCTTCTAACTGGTTCAGTTGAAAGGCTTATTCTCCAGAACTCCCTCCTGGAACACGCTCTCTCAGAACCCAGCTACCACATGGAAGAAGCCAGAGCCACATGGAAAGGCCACATGCACATGTTTAAGATGACAGTCCCAGCTAAGATCATACTTCAAGTTGACCCAGCCCAAATGCCAGACACGAATGAAGGAACCTCCAGATTATTCCAGAACCCAGTGGGCCCCAGATGTCAAGGAACAAAGGCAGGCCATTGTGCTGTCCCTGTTTCATGCCACCTGCAAGCTTGTTGAAGTGGTTTAAGTTCCACAACAGACAAAAACCAAAGTAGTGCACAATGAGAAATGCCCTTGGGGCTCGGAATTCAGTCCGTCTGCAAAGTTGCCTAAGTTTTTGTCTGTTGTCTTCCCTTGGGTAAAGGCTCTAGTATGCACAGAGGCAGGGGGCACTCTGCTCCTCTTGGCAGCTTTCCTCACAGCTGCTAGGTTATTGCCCTGCTTCTCTCTCTGCTGCTTGGCATGGGTGCATGTGCCCACCCTTTTCTTGAATTTGAGAGCCCATTTGTCCTTGGAGACCTGAGCAGCTCCAGGGCGGATGCTGTAGCAGGGGGGAGCCACACCCCTCTGGAATCATGTCCCGCACAAGCCTGGTGTGCCAGCAGGGCATCTGCGCCGCGGCTGGCTCATGCTCTCGGCCACCTCGTGACCTTGTTAGGACCCCCAGTCATGGGGCAGTGCACAGCCATGGCTGCGGCGTGGAGGGGCCCTACTGAGGCTTTGAGAACAAGAGCCCTGTCCACACCCACCCCTCCCTGTGGGGGCAGGTTAGTGCTGCAGGGTCTTGACAGGTGGGCCCCTGCCCCCTTCTGAGGAACCTCTCCTCCCCTGAGGCCAGTGTCCATGTTTTATGCCACACTGACTTCCTCACTTTGCCTCCCTGGGCCTGCACGGGGGCTGGTCAGGACAGCCTCGTTGTCCAGTGAGGAGCTGTGGGGACAAGACAGTGTGTCCTTGTGGCATCTCTTCCTCTTCGTCCCTTAGTGTTCTACGCTATCATTTACAGCTTCTGTGGAGGAATGTCATAGGAAAGCATCAGACTAGCACTTGGCCAGCATCCGCTCCATGGGCTCCATGGCAGGTGGTGTGCCAGATGCTTTTATGTTCACTCACTGCGGGAGGTGGGGACACTTAGGAGTGGAGGACACAGAGGCTTATAAAGGAATCACTTGCTTGGGATCGTGCCAATCTAAGTGACAACAGGAGTGTGGCCTGTGTTTGTCTCCCAGAGCCTGACCTCTTTCACCTGGAGAGCTAACCCTGCTGATCTGGGGGCTCAAAGGCCAGGCTCGTGGGAGGCTTCCTGACATGCAGGAAAGCCCCGCCAGGTGCACGCAGAGCAGCTGCCTGGTGGCCACGAGGTCAGAATTCAGGGGCATTTACAGATGGCTGCTGCGTGTCCAGTAAACACACCTCAGGTCCAGAGGCTGGAAGGCAACGGACAGTCTGAAAACTGGTGCTCAGTCGGACCCAGAGCAGGGACTAGGCCCCAGCCCGGACAGAGTGCGCTCTAGCTACCTGGGCACTGACCAGACTTCCTCCCGGCCCCTGAGCTGTTGGCCCACACAGGCCGCTTGTTCTGCCACACACCAGACAGCAGCTCTCACACTGACTAAAAGGGTGATTGAGAAATGACTTTTTTTTTTTCCTCATGAGGCAAGAAAACAAAGACCACGCACAGTTCTTTTCCTATTTGTGTCATCTGTCAGGAGACCCATTGCTTGTTGGGGAAACAATGAAAAAAAACCCCAATTCAGACGAACCAAACCACTTCATTCTGAATAAACTAGACGTGCTGAGAAACAGAGACAAAAAGAGAGAGACACTAAGGAGGCAGGGCAGGGAAGAGTGAGGGGCAAGGGGGCACCCGTCTGAGCGGGCAGGGCTCTGCGGGGCACAGCCTGCCTCTCCATCCCGTCCTAGCCTCAGAAAGGATGTTTTGTAATGTAGGGGGGGCACGGGGAAGGCAGTATAGCACAGAGAAGACAGGTAGTGACTCTACAGCATCTCACTACACTGATGGGCAGTGACTGTAATGCGGTATGTGGTGGGGACTTGATAACGGGGGGAATCTAGTAACCACATGTTGCTCATGTAAGTGTATATTAACACCAAAAAAAAAGATGTTTTGAAATTGGTGTTTTCTTAAAAAGTTGAACACACATGTACCATGCGACCAAATAGTTCTATTCCTAGTTATCTGCTCAAGGGAAATGAAAACATCTGACCACAGGAAGCACTGCCCATGGAGGTTCAGATCAGCATTGTTCAAGAGTCTCAAAGTGGAAACAATTCCAATGCTTATGAGCTGACAGGTGGAGAAACAGAATGTGGCAAGTCACACAGTGGAGTAACTCCTCCAAAAACTAGGAACGCACTCCTGAAAGGGCTGCGACGTGGACAACCCTCAGACACAGGCTGTGCAAGAGAAGCCAGATACAGAGGACTACGGACTGGGGTTCCAGTTCTATGAAATTCCTGTAAGAGGCAAAACTACAGAGACCGCAAACAGATCCATGGTCACCTGGTGTGGTGGGTGGGAATGAAGCATTCCTGCACAATAGAACTTTCTGGGGTGAAGGAAGTGTTCAGCGCTGGGTTTAGCACAACTGTATAAATTTAGTAAGACTCATTAAATGACCTTAATATGGGTGAATTTTATGGTATGTAAATTACACTTTAAAAAGTGTTTAAAACAAGTTGTTCTGCAGGTCGTATAAATCTCAGGTACCTACAAACCAAGGGTACAGAGGAAAAGGCCATGACGTTCAGCACCAGGACGACTGAGAACACAGGACTATTCCAAAAGCATCAGTTTTACAACTGGGTTAGCAGTCTGAGAATATTAAAATCGGCTTAAAGATACATTTAATGTTAAAGGTTTATATAGCAGGCAGCAAAGGTACCACCCTTATTATTTCAGAGGTAGCATCCATACAGAGTTAAGAAGTCAGCGGTGACCGAAGGTGCATTGTTTTAAGAATGACATTGTAGAAGGTGAAATGTATGCCTGTCAGAGTTGGTATGGGTAGCTGGACTGGCTGTGAGTAGAGTCCAGGGTGGTAGTATTTATGTATTAAGGCCTTGTTTGCCGGAACATGAGACCCTGGACAAGGGATGACATGGTGCTGTAGAAGGAAAAGAACCCCAAAAGATTCCCTCACCCTGAAAAGACAAAACCCTATGGCTTTGGATGGAGACTGATGCCTTCAATGTTTTCATCTATAAAATGGGCTTACTGCTGCCACCGGTGGAGTGTGGTTCTGACTGAATGAGAATGGGAGGGAAGCGCACACTCCCAAGAGGAAGACCTATTCCATTGGCTGAGCCTTCTGGGGACCCCACGGCAGGGAGTCCCAGGGACAGAGCTGGGGCTGGAGGTGTAACTTACCAACATTCACAATGCTTTCAAAGGAATCAAATCACGTTTCCTTCCAGGGTGTATCTCTGGGCCCAGTTTCTAAGCAGCATTTTACACGTCTTTCATAGTTAAGTAGAGTAAGGAAGGGTAATGAAGCTGTGAGTCTATGGAGTGCATCCCTCTCCCTGTCATATGTCCAAACACCAAATGAAGCAGAGCATCTACAAAGAGATGCTGTGGAAAACAGTCCTAAATAAAGTCTAGTCTCAGTTTGTCTCACTCATATATGCCTCCCCCAGCTGGCTCCAGCTGCAGAGTTGCAAAATCCCCTGTTGAATCCCAGATGTTCACTGATGAGATGGGAAAAGTGTCCATGAGACAGGGGGAAAAGTGTGTTGTAGATCAGCACTGAAAATCTTCCCTTTCTTCCTCTTTTAAAAAAATTTGCATCTTCCTTGTAAAGGACTTAAGATACAAGTACGGAAAAAAGAAAAAAAACACCTGAAACACCAGCCAGATATAGTCATACTTAACATTTGGGTTTACATTGCTGCAAGCCTTCCTATGTATTGATCTAGTATGATGCAACGTGCGTGCCACCCCTGGAGCAAGACTACCCCAGTTCAAACTCTGTCACTACCACTCACGGCTGTGTGGCCTGATCATCAGGGAAGATGATCAGAGGTCCTGTGAGGGGCAACTGACCTAAATATATAACATGCGCAGAACTGGGCATGGTACAGGACAAGTGGTCAACAAATAAGAGGGACTGCCCCAGAGCAGGACATGCTTATCATGCAACCCCGTGTCCCTGCATGTCTGTGCATGTATAAGCCCATGCACTTGTGTGTGTGTGTGCCTCCTGATATGTAAAGCCCTGTGTGGAGTGTGTGGATATGTGCCATTCTTGTGCCCAAACACTAAAAATATAATCAAACTATAGTAATCTGCTTTTTCCACACAACCTATTATAATGGCGTTTTCATGTAAATCAATACAGCCTGCATCACCATTTTGGGGGCTACGTGGTGTCCTAGTGGACAGATGTACCACACATGTCACTTTCTACCTGCCAATCACTTAGGTTGTTTATATAATCACTTTGAGTTGTATTTATGAGCTGCTTTGTAGATGTCACAGAAATTTAAGAGGAAGTCATGAAGGATCAGAAAAGCAGTAGTCCACTAGATCAAACCAAGGCTGTTTCCCGTCCCTTTGAACCTACTGTCAGTGAAGTGGCTTATTCAGCCCACTCAAGTGTAGTTATGATCTCAGTCAGGGCCTATCATTTAATAACTGCTTAATAATAAAAAGTTTGAATATAAAATGTATTTAACAAAAAGGCATGATTCTTTCAAAATAAAAATCAGAGACACCTTTACAGCTTCCCTTCCAACTCCGCAGATGGATCTGTGCAGTACTGCGCTGCCACCCAGTCCCAGATGGTGGCCCCTGCCGGCGGTGGGTCACACGCTGCAGAGCTGCATGGAAACCTCAGGTGAGGAAGCGTGAGCTAAATCTGTTTTCCAGTGAAGGTGGACAGGTGAGGTTTGTGCAAGGCTAGAACCCCAAGCGTCACAGTCTTTACTATCACACACAGTTCAGTCATGAGTCTTTACGGGCAGGGTCTGGCGGGAGCCGGTCCTGGGTCAGTTGCCCAATGACCGGCATGTCCACGAACTCCAAGGCACACAGCTCTGGGCCACCAGCACCGCAGGGCGCCTGCTCCAGTTCCAGCACTACGATGGTGTTTGGGGCCGATGTCTTCAGGATGTTCTGTGGCACAAACAAGGTCATCTGGGGGCCCCGCGCTGGCCAATAGCGGCCAAGGTTAAAGCCGTTAATCCACACCTGACCCTGGAGAGAGAGGAAGACAGAACTATCAATCTCGGCCTAGCGCTGAGGCCCGGAGGGTGGAGGCGGGATGGGCTGTACGGGTGCTGTGCCACCAAGGCGAGGCCCCAGGCCCCGGGGGCACCGCACGGCGTCCTGCAGGAGCCCAGGTGACTGGCCGGGTCGACAGGGTCAGGGCGCGAGAAGTAACAAGAAGCTGCCCCAGGACCCACACTCCTGCTTCAGGAAAACACAGGTTGGGTCCCTCGGCCTGGCTTCATCAGCCAGTCACCACTGGACGGCGCTGGCAGTTCTGCCGCTTCTGTAGTTGGGCCCAGGGAACGCTGCCCACCACCCCCGCCCTGACTGGGCCCTGCGCTGGGACCTGCCGGTCTGCCTGCTCAGGGAGGTGGCCCCCCTGTGCTCGCCTTGCCTGGAGGGGTGTGTCAGGCCAGAGCTGGCCAGCGGCCTGGGAACACAGGTTCCCAGACAAGGGCTCAGCAGGGCCGCGGGTCGGGGAGGGAAGGGGTGCCCACGTCACTGCGCTGCTCTCTCCGTCCTCACACCAGCATCAGAGTCAGGGTGGGGGCTCCATGTCTGCTTCAAGGAGCAGAGCCTACAGCTGCAGAGGTAACTTCCGGAAGCAGGGGCAACTGCTTCCACGATCAAACCGAGAGCCGAGAAACTCTGCAGAGGGGCTGTGTCTGGGTGTGTGCTAGGATTTGCTCACAGGTGGACCTCACAGTTGGGAGGATGAGTGGAACGTCCTACTAAAAAGGAAGAGAGAAGGGGGCAGAGAAAGTGGAGAGGAAGGGAGCAAGAGGAGGGAGGGAAGGGCAGGTGGAGACAGTGCTACCCACTGGGGCCCAGACATGTTCGGGGCCACCCTGCATGGGGTCCCTGCTGAGCCCTGGTCCCCAGCACCGCCGTGGCCTCGGAGCCACCTGGTCACTTTCCGAGCTCCAGCTGTGCCTTTACTCCTGCTCCTCTGAACTTCCAACCTGGTTCCGTCTAAGGCCTGTCACTTACTGGCTGCCTGACCTTGGGCAGGTCCCCACTCAGAGCAGTCACCCCAGGGACGTGTGAGGACAGCAGAAGCAGGGAGCAGCTGGCCTGCCCAGCCCAGCAGAGGCGGTGCTCCGTGAGGCCGGCTCCCACCACCAAATTGAAAAGCTCCCGCGTTCACATGCCTACAACAGGAGCCAGTGGTGAAGAAGATGCCTGTCTGTTGGATCCAGTCATTTAGAAAAAGGATGACAGTTTCACAGTTCTCAGAACTATTTTACTCTTGTTTTTACCACGGGATATGCCATCTCAATCCATCCTAAAAGGCACAGGTAGTGGCAGCTTTACCAGGCTTTTATCAGGTGCAAATCTGCCAGTGCTTTGTTTTTGTAGCTCAGAGGCTGGCACTTGACTTTTGTGGTTGAGGGAAGGTGGGTTTGGAGGCAGTTTAGTGATAGGGCCCTGTGGGCAGGCAAGGGGTGGCCAAAGGACTACTTGGGTGGCTGAACTTGCTCCTGAGATCCCTGAGGAGCTGACTCGACCAGCTTGGGAGGGCTGATTAGTGCTCCTGCCTTGGATTATTTGATCTGGCCTCCAATTTCTGCTTTCCCAGCTCCTCCCACACTTGCGCGAGGCCTGACCCTACTGTGAAAACTCACAGTGGCTCCACTTCCTAGGCCGTGCTGTGACGGGTAGATGCAACTCCAAATCCTCGCCCTAGCTTGCTGATCAAAGCTGGTATTATTTGTCTGCCTGTCATTTCCTTAGCTCTGGGCACCGCACATATCCATTCTAGGTATCTTTTCTCCCCCAAATTTGCACGGGTGGCCTATTTGGAGCCTTTGGCTCCCACATGAACCGTGCCTCCTGGCTCATCCAGACGACACTGCAACGTGGGCGACTGTGCCTTGCACATTCCCACTATCCTCCCCTGGTTTCAGGGTTCCATAATTCTCCAAAGCTATGAACTTCTTCAGGACAAAATTCCCCTCCACTCTCAGCTCTACCAGAATGTGTGTTAAGCAAGGTTTATGGTGCTTGGCTGCCCTTCCAGGACAGAAGAATAAAGGACTGGGGAGGAGGAGTCATGGGCACATGGCTCCCAGATCACCGTTCCCATGAGCTCCCTGCAATGTCAGATGGCCTGGGCTGCCTGACATGGGAACTATGTGCACTGGATGTAGCTGGCCCAACCCTCAAAATGTGGCCAGAGTGAGAAGGAATGGATTTTCACTTTTCATGAATTGAAATTCAAATATAAATAGGCATGTGTGGCTAGTGATTCCCCTACCGGACAGCAGAGTTCAACAGTGACATGCCTGCGACTACACCATCAGACCACAGGCTTTCCGCCTCTCTCCGCCCTACGGTGACTTCTGGATGGAGTCATAGGCAGCGCTGTCAGACTGCTGCAGCCTCCCCACCCGCCTCCGGCTGCCTGTAATTCTAGAAGCAGGCCCCACACAGAGGCACAGTGGAGACGAGATGAAGAGATGATGTTGTGTTTCCTCCAGCCCCCTTACCAGGGCCACTGCCCTGGCCTCCTCTCCACCACTCTCGCCCCTGCTCATTTGTTCTCCCATTACTTGAACAAGCCTCACCTGTGCATTAACTCCTCCTGATGCCTGCGACTGTCCGCCAGACCTGAGGCCTCCCCATCAACATCTCCTCTGGAAGAAGGTCCTGGTGGCTCCCCTTAAGACCAGGCTTCCATTTCAAGTCAGTCCCCAACCCTTTAGTCTTCTTTTTCTTCTAGGTGTTGTTTGATATTCACATCATGTGTTTGGGGACTGGTTTTCCAGTGATCTTCAGCCTGGGCTCTAGGGATGGCAAGGCTTTGTCCTTGTTCAAGGCGAGATTCTCAGCCCTCAGCAGAGTGATATTCATTATGAGCCTAGCAACACCCCTTAGATAATGCTGGCTGGTAATTCTGCCAGAGAAAAGATCCGGTGGAGAGCTGAAAAAGAAGCCCTCCTCGAGGAATTCTTTGTGCTCTTCTCCTCCCAACTTAAGTCCTAGAGAATACTGTTTCACTAGAAGAAAAATGGAACGTCTGCATTCCTCCTTGATAACACTGTGATTTCTAAAGAGTGATTTTTTTAAAGTGCTAAACAAAAAATCACTTTAAAGAAGTCAAACTAAAAAATATTTTGCTTAAAAATACAGACACTCTGTTTTTTGTTTCTCTTTAAAAAGTTATGCCAAATTGTTGGGGGTGGGGCATGCACATGATGGTAAATGTGATCTAAAAGTAGATCACACTTTTAATTATAATTACAGTACATCCCCTGGGTGAAGCATTTTTAGAGTGAACACCAATGGCTTCTGGGGCTTCCAGGGGATGTCCCAGCTAAAACAGTTCCATGACAAAGTCTGACTTTCTCTGACCACAGCTTGCCCTTTGGGAGACTCCCCACCCTTGATTATTATCAACAAGGTGATAATAGGTTTAATAAATGTTAGGTTCCTGGAAATGTGTGACCTACTTTGCTAATCAGACAGATGTGTGCCTGACCATTTAAAATTCTCTAGATAAATGCCATCCTCTCCTAAGAGCTTAAAGCAAAAGTTTCAATTCTGTTTTAAGTCACAGTTTAAACATTTTGAAATTTGATTAGGAGTTCCTTCAAAATCAATGAACTCCAGTGGAATGTTGATGTTGTCAAACTCTGAAAGAAGACATTTAGACCTTGAGGGACTCAAGATGGAAAAGACAGAGGTCACTTTCAAGGTGAAAAGGCTCTTCACACAATTCATGAGCAACTGTGATGCTAATTTGTGAGAAAGAAAGGAAAAAGAGGATTTTTCTTAAAAAAGGTAAAATTGTGAGGAGCTGGGTTAAATAAAATGTCGACTCGATCTCAGGGCAGTACAGAGGAGCAAATTCATTCTCCCTCCCTTCAGACCCAAAGACCCAAAGCTGATGCAAATAATACTCTGCTTCCTCCTGGGTCTTAGAGCAATAAATAACTTCAGGGTTTCTCTGTATTTTAGGACAGACCCAAATGGAATCAAAGCCATGAACATATAAAATATTAGCCTAAAAGATGAATCAGTTCCTCCTCTCATCAAACTCCAATATAAATTCCTTTCTTTCTCAACTCCCACAAGTTCCCTGTGGCTTGACCTTTTGTGTGGGGTACCTCATCGATAGCAATGGTTGTACTGCCCACATACCTGGAACAAAGCTGAGAACTGGTGAGTGAAAATCACCTCCAGGCAGCCATGTAGGACTTGCTTTAAAGTCCATACACTAGAAGCTATAGAGGACCCTTCTTCACTCAGAGCCTATGGACTCCTAGTTACACACAACTCTTGTGTTTTGTTACTACATCAATATATATTTGTGGAAAGAAGTCTGATGATCTAGTTTCCACGTTCACAGGGCTTGTGACTTGAAATGACAAATTAGCTGGGAAGCTTTTGTAGGGGGTGAGAATGACTGTAAATGAGGCCAAAAGAGTTTTCAAAGCATATCAGATTCAGAGTGAAAGTAGAGGGCAGCAGAACAAAGGCCTGTAACAGACTGAAGAAATGGCCACAAGCCTTCACAGCTCCCCTATCAAGAGGCAGGGTCTGTTTCTCCTTCCCTGGGAACTGGCTGCTCTAGTGACTTGTGGCCACAGAAGGTGGAAGAATGTGACATGTGAATTCTGACTCGGACCTTCAGAAGCCTCACACAGTTGCATGATTGCTGTGAACCCTGCCAGTCACCCCGGACAAGCCTGGGTCAGCTTGTTGGATGACGAGAGGGACATGGCCCACTGTCCTTTGCTGCCTCAGTGGGCAGCCAGCTAACACCAGGAGCAGAGCCTCCTCGCTGACTGGAAGGGCATGTCCTGCTGGGAGCTGCACAGGAACCACCCAGTCAGCCAACACTCAGAATGACGAGCTGAGTAAATGGATGTTTTAAACCACTTGGTTTTGGACAGCTTGTTGCACAGCCAGTGTAACTGATACACACTGAGGTGCATCAGCACACTGCTTTTCGGAAAAGTAAGATGTTTATAAACCGAACT